CTTCCGCTAATCAGATACTTAGCACTTTTTGTGCCTATTTGAGTTCCGTTTCCCGCAATTTGCGGTCGCGAACTGTGCCTTTAAAGGCAGCGTCCGCGTTCAGTTGAGATTTTCCTCTCCCTTCGTGAGCAGGTAGTCAGGTCCGCAGAGGCAACAACTACACCACTTTCGCGGCGCAAAAACGAGTGAGGAGGCCCACGATGCCGTCGTTCTTCTCATTGGCCCAACCTACAATCATTGGCACCGCCCTCCACTCATTCCTAATGGTTATCTGATGGTGCGGTTGTTTCGCTGCTGCTTCTCTCCACGTCGAGTGGTGAGAGTGAGGTGATAAGGGAAAACAGCTGATATCAACAAGTGAGAACTCGTGCGACCGCACCTTCTCTTCGCCTTGAGCACGTACAACCTCAATTAAGCAAGGGGTTCTATATAGAGCCTTTCCTATGATTTCTGATTTTTCTTCACTGAGGGGTTACTTGCTACCTTGTTATAAGTATGTGAGCCGCAGAACTTATAAAAGGCTCAGCCATTAACAATCGATGTGGCATTTGGGTAAATTATAAGCGGACGACCCTTTCACCAGTACATGGTCAATTTCCGTTTGTCTCCCTCCACTGTTTTAGGAGATCAGTCTTTCTTTTCGCGAAGAAGGTGCTACAGATTGCTAAGTCGTGGGCTGTGGCTAGGTCAAGGACTCGTTCTCCCTCAGCGTTCCTTGCCCTATTCCTTGGCCTCCGTGCACCCTTTCTAGACCCCTTCCGTCACTACGCACACGCCATTCGGATCACCAGCTGAGTAGTCACCCTCTGAAACGGATTTTATGGCCTCGTCCAGAGGCAGGCAGAATCCACTATGGTTAGCAAGAAAGATAGGGTCCCTGAAATGTGAACTGTAGGCAGTTCACAAAAGCGCGAAAGGGAGTATGAGTGAATTGCTGACAATTTAGAAGGCGTCAAGCGAACATTGCCTGGGGCGTCTTTAAGGTCCTTCGCCGAGCATCTCGAGCTGTAGTACTTTCTTGCAGACGCTGTCCGTATTCGCCCGGAGTACGTGGCCATACTATCGAAGACGAGATTCTCGCATTTCATCAGCTCATTACGCGTGACACCGGCCGTCCAACGTAGCACTTTTATCTCCATCACGCCAAGGCAGCGTTCAGACTTCGCGACCGAGGCGCTGCCTATGCCGGGCTTCGACTTGATCCGAGAAAGGGGCGTCTCGACGACCTGTGAAAATGTAAGAAGTTATGTGGGAAGGTAGTGCTGTCCGAATGGACAAGCGTGTGCCAGTTCGCGACGGAAATGTTGTACGATAGAATGAAGGCGCAAAGTTGCTTCAGTGGTACATCCCTTTTTCCAGTGACTCCGCCTCCAGACTCCGCCTCCAAAGTCGGCCTTCCAGCCAAAAGTAATGCTCCCGGGCAAGTATCATGGAGTGGATGCATTCAATGTCTCTTGTAGAGTCATAGGGTTCATTACTGGGTATCGTTCCAGTGCTCAGTCTTCTCGGTCTTTTACCTCTGCAGTTGTTTGAAGCTTGTCGTGACTTTCGTCCGACTCTTTCTTAAAGGGTCGCGTCGTGGGGCGCGCGGCGGTCCTGGCGCGCTTAGCGGTACGGTCGAACATTCTCGAAGCCGCTAGGGATGCAGAGTCGGCGTCGACTCTGGCCTCTCTCTCACTTCGTCGTCCGCCGCCGTATCGACTGGTCGCTCCTCCGCTCGTCGCCTAGTGTCAATTCCATCATTCAACTGCTATGGCAACACTTCAATATCAAGGAGCCGTACCTCGCAGGGAGCAGCACTACCTCCGGCCGTGAACATCCCAGGTAACTACTAGAGGAGTAGGAACACCCGAGCCTCCTGGGCAGCCAGAGGGGAGGGTGTCTCCGAGGCCCCTAGTAGGTTGTACCCTCGTGGCCCATAGGCAGTTTCTTGGCAGGGTTCGTACGTAGGTTAGGGGCCGTACCTTTACATTTACTGTTAGTGGTTTTCCCTTTTTAGTAATTGCCTTTTCTATTATTGCTCACAGTGTAGCAATAGTGGTTAAAACCACATCATTTCTCATGCATTTATTCTTTACGGTTCAACATAGTTCATAGTATAGTTTATGATGCGTCGGTCTCGTTGGTCCTAGTAGGAAGTTAATGACGGTACGCCTGATCAGCCGTGAAAGCAGATGTTCTTAGGTAGAGTGTGAGGACAATGTGTAGGTAGGAGGGTAGTGGGTACATGTCCGTAGTGCGCGCATAACGTCGGGGCAGTAAGGGCCTACCGGTTGCGCTTAGCAACATCCCGCGTGGCAACACACTGGCGAGCATGGGCAAGCGCTCGTAAGTCCCCTGCCCAACCCTCTGCGCTGAGGCGAGGATCTTTTCCCTCAGGCACCGATGGACGTCAGAGCGGACTGGTCACCTGGCAGAGGTTAGGTGTGAGGGGAACAGGAGGCCACCCCCGGCACGACAAAGCTAGAGGAGGCCTGACGAATGCGTTTCTAACGTTCTCTTTGGCTTTTTTTTCTCCATAGTTCACTCGTCGAATTTTCTTCCACACTTCTGCTACTCATCTAGGCTTTTCATCGCCGACTGACTTGTGGCCTTCAAGAGGTCTTCTCTAAATATGCACTGCCACCACCACAAGGAATCCTTTGATGCGCTTACCTCAAATTCCTCAGCGTCAGAGAGTTTCGTGTAGCAATAAAGGTACAGGTGCAAGCGTATGTCAAGTACCTTAAGGTGTTACGAACCCTCAGAGAGCGATAGAAATGGGCACTATGTGGTCCGGGAAGATCCAATCCGCAAATTCGCGTGAGCGTCTTCGGCAGCTCTGTTGTCGCCAGGCTCTTCTTGCCGGGTAAATCGGAGAGTGGGTAAAGAGCATCGGAGGCGGAAGCACATTACGCACTCCAACTTTCAGAGGCGGTAGGCCGTTCAGCCATCCCTTTCAACGGTGTTCTACAGCGCTCACGCAGACCTGCAGACCGACTCCTATTGAAGCACACAGTTTTAACGTTAGCTTGCATTAAAAAATCGAGGCAATTTGGTCCCCATACTACTTTCAAAAAACGAGGCAAAAGATGCGAATGCGTTTCCTATCAGGTTGCAAAACTTGTGTAAGTTAGGGAAACTTGAGTGACTTGGAGGGAGGAAGGGGAGAGAGTGGGTAGGTTTGCCTAGGATCAGCTCAGCTAGTTCGTCCCCACTTGAGCGCTACGCTCACAAGAAAAAAAGTACTGGATTTGAACGGAAGATCTCGTTGAAGATAACATTAGGCACAAAAGTGTCAAACACTAAGTGATTCAACAACTTTTTGGGAACACACCACGCATAATTCTACCACTCGAAATCTTGTTGTGTTAGGCGCTTGCCGAAGTAAAGCAGCCAGCTAAGGCGGAAGTGAAGGAGTTGTTCTATGAACGGATTTGAAACGAGTACCTTTTGAATTTGGCAACACTTCAACCTCAATGCGTGTCATCTCTGCAAGTGTCCGTGCCGCTACGCCACTGTAGCTAGACGTTACTGGAGGGGAGAGGGCACGAACACCGCGGCGCAGCCATGTTTTCTGTCTGCGCCCTCACCGAGAGAGTGATCTGACGTTTCCCGACGTTCCAGCTTTCAAAAGGGAGCGGACGACGATAGTACGCATATTCTCATGTCGCGGCGTAGCTGTGCAGGCGTAGTAGTTCAAATTTTTTCAGGACAACTGTCCTCTGATGATTTTCTGAAACGAAGCTCAAAAGCACGTATTCAGCCAGATCCTGATGAACAGGAATGCATTGTCGTAATCTCAGCTCATTCTGTTTTAACATTAAGCACATGTGAGATAGGCAATTTCGCAGTGGAAGAGAAAGTGTTTCCTTGCCGTTTTGACTGTTCGAATATCATCGAAACACGCTCGAAAAGTTAAACAAACCCAAGTGGCTACATCCCGCAGTACAGAAGAGGATGTCTACATATGTGCCTGGTTGGGCCTGTTGTAAGTTAACAAAACCGATGTCGAGCAGAAACTGTACCTTGTCCTGAATTATGAGCCATGACTTTCGAAATGCAAGCAAACTATCGTCAAGCAGCAGTTACCATATTTGAAAAACATTTCTAACAGCTTAACAATGATGTGTCTTTTCCCAGTGTAGTGACAAAAAAGGTTCCATGTGGACTGTGGACGGCGTGTCTACAACTGTAGAGGTAAAAGACCGCGTGCTGGGACGATTCCGGTCGGCTGATTCCTTGTAATAAACCCCATGACTCCACAAAGAGGACGGAGTGTATCCACTTCATGACACTTGCTCGGGAACAATACTTTTGGCTGGAAAGACTTTGGAGGCGGAGTCTGGAGGCGGAGTGACTGGAAGAGAAGGATGTATCACTGAGGCAACTTTGCGCCTCAATTCCTTTATCGCACAACTATCCACCGCGAGAAGGAAGGTAGTGCTTTTCCGCTGTGGGAAGGTAGTGCGGTCAGGAGTGGACGGTCGCGTGGCACACGGCCACACCCACATAATTTCTTGCGTTTTCATAGGTCATTGGTTTCATAGGACCGTCCTTTGACACACTGAACCCAGCTGGCAACAATTCACACTCACACTCCTGTTTCACGTGTTTGTAGATTGCCAGTTCACATTTCGGGGATCACCTTCCTTCTTGCTGACAATGCGCTTATTGTGAGTGATCTCGTCCATCATACGCCTAATATGTTTTCCTTATTATACACACTCTATGGACCTGAAAAAAAGCTGCTCGTTAAGGCTGTTTCATTCAATTTAACTCATTGCGCACCGCGTACTCCAACAAATGCAGCACGTTCGTCTGCCTCTGTATGGCCGCGTGCTGCACATGGCGAAGCACGCTTCGTTTGAACTTGTTTAACATTGTTAGATGATTCAAAAGGTCGGAATATTTCTGAAGTCTTCTGGGACAAAAATGTATGGGGAAACTGCACTAAGGGCTAAGTTACCGACATCTTCTGCAATATCTCGACCATTTTATTCTAATTATTTTTTTGTTAAATGAGGATTAAACAAAGAATATTATACCTTTGTTTAACCTCATTTAACAAAGAAACCGAAATCCTGGTTATAACACGACTGAAAATTTGTAAAATGTTGTAAGCGCACAGTTGCTTAGCACATTGCGTCACTTTTCAACACTTGTTCTTTTCTTTTGTATCTACACATCTATCGATAGTACATTATTGTTGTTTCTGAGTTTCAGTTGCCGTGGGTACGTGCTTTTTGGTGTCTTCTTATCAAATGAAACTCTTCAAAATTTTTATTTGGCGACGTTTCGGGCCAGAAGCCCTTCTTCAGGTCTATAATATACATACACAATATAGTTCGCGTTGGACAATTCTGTGGGAATGTCAATTTAGCTAGGTTGATCTCACTTAGCACCTTTCCGCCCTTGCCTGTGGGGTGACCTTGCCTGACTGGCTGCGCTGGCTGGTGACCTGCTCACCATTTTCATTCCAGCCTCATGTTGAATTATTATTGATATCATAGAAGAAAGGGGAAATCCAAGAGCCAAGAGTTAGGAGAATTGAAGTCATTTATAGGTTCAGAAACACACGCTTAAATGGAAAATGGGTCTGAAAAAGGTGAAGAACTTACCTTCTACCGCCTATTACTGGATGACAGAGGGGAGTACTGACGAAGCTGTACAGGCAAACTAGTTAACAGCAGATGACCTTTCGCACATCACTAGACACCTTCCTTTGATTCCCTCGTATCAGACCCTCTTCGAAGGTCAACTCAACAAGTATTTAAGCAGAAGAATTGCAACAGCACCTTTCCGTGTTTATGTCTTAGCATTATTTCAATCTATTACGGCGACTTTCTCTATTCGGATCTCCTCAGCCATACCTTCTCAGCAGGACCTAGTGCGTCTATGTACAGTACCTATCATGTCAACACTCCCCAACCCCTTACCCTCCACGGCAACACTTCACAACTGAACCTTCATTGTACATGGCCTCTACGATCGACACCCCGACTACAGAAGGACCTGATCAGTCGTTCAGCACACCATCCACTTTCCACCTGCCCATTCCTTCTCCATCATCCAGTGTATATGGTTCCTTTACAGACACTTATTACAGCACAATGTACGCGGCCACTCCTTCACTCTATAGGTCTTCATCTCATCTTTACCACAGATGCCTTCTGCGACAGAACCTGCGCCTACTACCTTCGTTGCACTCCTGCCCTCTTTGTAGGCACACAACGCATCTTTCAGGTACCTTGGATGCCTCAGCTTCTCCTGCTGCTGCTGCAGTAGATCAAGGTGTACAGCGATACATTGGCGAGAGACAGGTAAGCAAAAGAGGAAAGAACGACGTACTGATTTACAGAATTCCAGCGACGACAAGATCATTCACCTTCTACCTAGCGTACAAGAGCAAAACCTGGATGATACACCTGCGTGCACTGCCAAAAAGAGAGGAGAAAGCGCGGAGAGCGAGCGTCAGCCGGCGGTTATATCAGAGTACGCGAGGAAAATCACAGAAACTGCAGGAGCAACTTCTGTTAACTCATCATTCAGGTTACTGAAAACGAATTCTTGTCCGACCCTTGCAGTGTGAGCCATGAGTGTATTGCCGCCAAGTATACTCAAGAGAGGGGAAATCCACACGTGTTTAAGGTGAGGCACTTCTTCTCCGTTAACACTGATGTTACAAACATATTTTTCAGGAGCTTCAAAAAGTGAGACGAGATCCTGCGTATGCAGAAAAAAAGCCCGTCAGAGTTTTCCTGGACATGGTAGCGGCTCCCCTAGAAGCAGACGATGGTAGGATGTTTGTAGTTTGTTTACTCTTCTGAACGCTACACTTTTTCTGTCTTCAGAAGACATGGAAGACTCTATTAGGGCTGCGATCCGTCGTTCTGGGTATAAGGCTCGGAGGCAAGATATATAACCAGGTATATATATCCTTCAATTCTTTTCGTGCAAATAGGTTGTTGTTAGTTTGGTGCCGAGTAGAGCTTAATTCCATTTAAGGAGCGTGGGAGTGTGGTCAGAAAAGTCCGTGACTATGGATCATGTTTTTTTGGAGTACCGCATCTCCGTGATGGCTCCACGTTCCTTTAGCATCATATTTACCGGGATTTCATATCTATTACTCCGTGGCGAGTATTCAGTGAGAAC